CTATTTTCTTGGAAAGGTAAACAAAATCAACAAAACTTTAACAAAAAAGACTCAAATAAATAAAATTAGCAATGAAAAAGAGGATATAACAATTGACACCTCAGAAATACAAAGACTCATTAGAGATTAATATGAAGAACTATATTTCAGAAAATGGGAAAATCTAGAAGAAAGGAATAAATTTCTGTACACATACAGCCTAGCAAGATGGAAGCATGAAGAAATAGAAAACTTCAACAGAATAATGAATAACAAGATTAAAGTTGAATATAAAGTTTCCTATTAAAGAAAACCCAGGACTTGATAGGCTACCAAACATTGAAAGTAGAACAAATGCTTATCCTACCCCAATTCCTCAAAACAAACAAACGAAAAACCGACAAGGAGGGCCTACTTCCAAACTCATCCTCTGAGGCCAGCATTAATACCCAAACCAGACCAGGACACAACAGCAACAAAAGCAGCTCAAAGGAGGTACAGAAGGAACGTACCTCAAAATAATAAAACCATATAAGAAAAACCAATGGCTAACATCATACTAAATAGAGAAACACTGAAGGCCTTTCCTCCAAAGACTGAAATAAGTCGAGAATGCTCACTTTCATTACCACTATTTAACATAATATTGGAAGTCTTGAACAGAGAAATTCAGCAAGAGAAAGAAATAAGGGGTATCCAAATTGGAAAGGAAGAAGTTAAATTAGCCTATTTTGTAGATTACATGATCTTATACTTAGAAAAAATCTGGACTCCACTAAATACTATCAGAACTGATTTAAAAAATCAATGAAGTTACAGAATATTAAATAAAAATACAAAATCAGTAAAATTTTTATATCTAGAAATTAAACATTCTGAAAAAATCAATAAAACTATCTCATTTATAATAGCAATAAAAATATAAAATACCTATGAGTCAATCTAACTAAAGAAGTGAAAGATCTCTACAAGAAAAATTATAAAACTCTGGTGAAAGCAACAGAAGAGGACACAAACAAAATGGAAAGATACTCCCTGCTCATGAACTAGAAGAATAAATATTAAAATGACAATACTACCCAAAGCAATTTACAGATTCAATGCAATTTCTATCAAAATACCAGTGGCATTCACAGAAATAGAAAAACAATTCTAATATTTATATGGAACCATAAAAGATCCCAAATAGCTAAAGCAATCCTGAGCAAAAGGAACAAAACCAAAGCTATCAAACTATAGACTTCAAAACCTACTACAAAGCCACAGTAACCAAAACAGCATAATACTGCATAAAGACAGACACACAGCCCAGTGGAACGGCATAGAGAACCCAGATACAAATCCAGGCACTTAGCAACTAACTCGTGCTTGACAAAGGGGTCAAGAACACAAAAATGGAAAAAAGGGACTGGTCAGGTGGCTCACGCCTGTAATCCCAGCATTTTGGGAGGCTGAGGCAGGCGGATCATGAGGTCAAGAGTTCAAGACCAGCCTGACTAACACGGTGAAAACCCATCTCTATTAAAAATACAAAAATTAGCTGGGCAGGGTGGCATGTGCCTGTAATACCAGATACTCAGGTGGCTGAGGCAGGAGAATCACTTGAACCAAGGAAACCGCAGTTGCAGTGAGCCGAGATGGTGCCACTGCACTCCAGCTTGGGCGACGGAGACTCCATCTCAAAAAAAAAAAAAAAAAAAAAAAAGGAAGAAACACCCTTTTCAAGAAACTGTGCTAGGAAAACTGGATATCTACATGCAGTAGAGTAAAACAGAACCCCTATTGCTCACCATGCAGAAAAATCAAGATGGATTAAAGACTTGAATCTAAGACCTGAAATTATGAAACTACTGGAAGAAAACAGTGGGAAAACTCCCCAGAACATTTATTGATCTCGGCAAATACAGTCTCTATGAGACTTCAAAAGCACAAGTAACCAAAACAAAAATAGACAACAGGGATTCTATCCAGCTCTGCACAGCAAAGAAAATAATCAACAAAGTGAAAAGACAACCCACAGAATGGGAAAAAATACTTGCAAACTATCTATTTTACAAAGGATTAATAACTAGAATATGCAGAAAGCTCAAGCACCTTAACAGAAAAAAAAATTAATAAATAAAAAATGACCAAAAGACCTGAATAGATATTTCTCAAAAGAAGCCAGATAAATGGCCCACAGATATTGGAAAAATGTTCAGTATCACTAATCACTGGATAAATGCAAATCAAAACCACAATGTGATATCATCTCACCCTAATTAAAATCACTTACAACAAAACAACAGGCAATAACACATGCTTGTGTGGATGTGGACAGAGGGAAACCCTCTTACACTGTTGCTGGGAATATAAATTAGTACAGCAATTATGAAGGACAGTATGGAGATTTATCACAAACTTGAAGTAGGACTACCATATAATCCAGCAATCTCACTCCTAGGTATACGCTCAAAAGACAGGAAATTAGTACATCAAAGATATATCAGTACTCCCATTATTATACCACTATTCGCAAATGCCAAGATTTGAATTCAACCTATGTATTTCAACAGACAAATGGATAAAGAAATATATATATGTATATATATGTATATATATATATATATACACACACACACACACACACACAATAGAATATTAATCTTATCATTACAGTAACGTAAATGGGACTGAAAGCAATTGTGCTAAGTGAAATAAGCCAAGCACAGACAGACAAATATCACATGTTCTAATTATATGTGAAAGCTAAAAATGTGGGTCTTATGAAGACAGAGAGTAGATTGGTAGTTACCAGAGACTGGAGGGAAGAGAGAAAGGACAAACAAAGAAAAAAAAATCTGTGTGTGTGTGTATGTGTGTCTGTGTGTGTGTGTGTATATGTAGGTATGTATATATAAATTTGCATATATGTATTACACTGAACTGTACATATATGTGTATGCATATATGTATTACCTGTACATATATATGCATATTTGTGTATGTATGTATAACTGTACATATATGTTTGCATATATATGTATATATGTATTACCACTGAACTGTTTAAAAATGGTATAGATGGTAAATTATATAGGTATATTTTACCTTAATAAAAATAAATTTAAAAATATTCAGTAGACTAGCTAAAAATATCTAGAGGGTTAGGTATTGATTCATATATAAACGTTTTCCAATATTTACAAGTAAAATGAAAAAAAAAACCCTTGAGTTAAATGTATAACCCACTGACAATGTTTCGAAGGATGAAAGGGATGAACTAAAATTTGGACAATCCATGCTGGTCCTATGTACCTGGAATAGAGGGAGAAAATGTGGGCTGGAAATACTGTTATAGGTGTTAGCACATGAAGTTGACAACTAAGTTATTTGGAGTAGATGGAGTTACTAGCACATATGCACAGTTTAAGAATGAGATGGCCGGGCGCGGTGGCTCAAGCCTGTAATCCCAGCACTTTGGGAGGCCGAGGCGGGTGGATTACGAGGTCAAGAGATCGAGACCATCCTGGTCAACATGGTGAAACCCCATCTCTACTAAAAATACAAAAAATTAGCTGGGCATGGTGGCACGTGCCTGTAATCCCAGCTACTCAGGAGGCTGAGGCAGGAGAATTGCCTGAACCCAGGAGGCTGAGGTTGCGGTGAGCCGAGATCGCACCATTGCACTCCAGCCTGGGTAACAAGAGCGAAACTCTGTCTCAAAAAAAAAAAAAAAAAAAAAAAAAAAAAGAATGAGATGACCCAGGATAGAACTTTGGACAGCCCCAAAATTTAAATAAGATCAGTATAGGAGAAGAGAAAGAAACCAAATGGTATACTACTCTCAATTGTTGCTTAGTGACAAAAGAATAAACTGAATATTAGCTTAGCTGCTTGTATGATCTCTAAATCAATTCCATTTGACATGCAGCAGTACCATTGTTTTATACTCCTTCACAGAGGAAATTCTGGAAAGAGCACACAGGGTTCCTTGCCTTTTCATTTGTATTCCTAATGCTACAGGAAATCCATTGTAAACATTCTCCACTATTAGTATGCTTCCTAAATTTGCCAATGTCTAAACATTGTATCAATTGTCTTTTAGCTAGCTACATTCAAGAAAGTCTAGAAACCAGGTGAAAAATGTCAAGGAGAATAATGTCATGTGCAAAGTCTTGCTTAGAGTTTACCAGATACTCATGTGATAAATAAAGTTTTAATGCATAATCCCATTTTACTAATAATTTAAAGATAAGACCATTTATAGTTTTTTTTTAATTTCATTTGGAGGATATAACATTATCTCCCTCATAAAGAGTAGAAATATAATTAGTGTTTTTTGAAAGAAAAAGAAGGAAGGGAAAGTAACAAGGAAGAGAGAAAAGAGGAAATGAATACAAATTTACTCAAATGTTCAACAACTTGCTTCCAGCTTTACATTTGTAGGACTTAGAAATGTTCATTCTAATTTGTCACCGTAAGAATGTTGCTTAATTTACAAAAAGATTTAAAAAAACTTCAATAAAATAAAATGGAAAGAACAAGACTGAAGAAGACTAGGAGGTAAATGTGTGATAAAGAGTAGTTATGAATACAGATTTTTCTTTTTCGAAAAAAAGAGAAAAACTTTGCCTTAGTGAAAGAAAGTGTCACCGACATACATATTTAAGTAGAATGGAACTGGCATAGAAACATGTTTGCATTTAAAAGGGGTTTAGATTTTTGCAAATAGAAATGGCACTATAGGAACCTATCTTGTAAAAAAAAAATTACATATCAGTTACTCTGCATTTAGCCTGTTGGGAAAGAGAAAAAGAGAGAAAGAGATTTCTGCAAGTGTAGAAATAATTACAGGGATATTAGGTGCCAATGAACCCAAGAGGGCTGACTTAACACTTGCTGGGTCCCTCATGGTTTTGGCTACCCACTAAGAAATCTCTCATTTCATGTTCATAACTCCTCCTACTTCTCTGCACATTCATAAAGGAACATTAAAATTTGTGGCTAGCCATGTTTTTTTCTCCAGTTTGATCTCAATAAATTTATCCTGTGTTTCAGAATGCTACAGACCTCGCTATGAGCTTTATTGGAGGATGAGCACACGAAGATGGTCTCAGACAGACTTCCAGAAGAGTGTCCGTACTAGAGATAGATGAAGAGTGTAAAAAGTTATCTACAAAATGTCCACTGTATATCATACTGGCACATATCCCGGCACCAAACAGAGTAAAATGTATGACATTAGCTGGTTGATGTTACACAATGTGCAGACTGAAAGTAAAGCCATTGCAGAACCCACAACTTAAGGGTATGATGCTGGAATCCTTGGAGAAGAAAAATTGGTGAGTGATGAATGAAAGTTTTATGAAAAATGGACAATATTCTTCAGATATCTAGTACGAGCAAAACCAGCTTTCAATAATAATTGGGGAGTAAGTCTCATGAATCCCAAGTTTCCCCCCATAATTTAATTATCAGTTTCTCCAATAACAAGCACTCTATCTGACTAACCAGGAACTTACATACACCACCATTTGCCACCCTGCTATCTGTGCCTGTCAGGTAGTACTCACTTGTCAGCTATAAGTCAGACATTGTGATTGTCCTTAAAGGATTCCTATTCTAATTGTTATTATCTTTGGAGAAGAAAAAAATTTTGTCTGTTAGAAAAAGTCAGTGACCTATGGATGGGAGTGTCAAAAACTAAGCATTGGGGATCAAACCTATGGAAATCACAGTATTTAATTGATTAATTTGTTTAGTTTATGCTGACATTAGAGATATTTTATATTTTTATATAAATATATTTTAGCTGACACAGCTTCCCTGTCATGAAATGTCCTTTGCTGATTTGGTTTCTTTATTTGAAGTTTAGCAGCAGTTGAACATTTGTTGTTGAATATTTGAGTAAATTTGATTCCATTTCCTTTTTTTCTCTCTTTCTTCCTTGTTACTTTCCTTCCTTCTTTTTCTTTCAAAACACAGCTGCTTCCTAAATTTTCAGCATATTGTTGACATTGAGTATACCATTAGCTGATTCATAAGCTTGCTGACATAAAGCAACTTTATTGAAATGTCTAGGAAGGGATGAAATAACTTAACTTTTTACTGAATCACAAACATTTCTCTAATGTATAGCTTAAAACGTACTGATTCAAATATATAGTTTTTAGAAAATGATTATTTTAATCAGAGAACTTTCATATAAAGCATAAGAGCCCACATCTTCAGACAATTCATCATCAGTGAAATTAAAAAGTGATGAAATTTTCTTTAGTTATTTATAGCCCTTTTCTCATTTTTGGTATCCCCAGGTTCATCCTGTCTTCCCTGTCTAGTTCTACATTTGACTTCTTCTAAGAAATTCGGTATTTAACTCTTTTATTTTTACTAATTTCTTATGTCAGAGTTCATAAAGTTATATCAGCATCTTAATTACCTATATTTCATTTAGAACTAATGAGCCTTTTTTGGCCTATATTATGCTAATTATAGCTCTGAACAGTTTAAAACCAGGAAACCAGACTCTATTCTGGCTAAATGATTCATTTGCCTGTTATTCAGTATCTGTGGTATATCAAGAGCAAGTCCTCTTGTTGTATACATTGCTGCTGCTCATCTTGTTGCTTAGCAGTTGCTTCTCTCTAGCTATTCTATAAAATGCATTACAGAATTTTTAAACACATTAACATTTCAAGAATTTCAGCTGTTAAAATATATAGAAAAATATAATTTCCTTTAATTTTAAAGAAATTTAAAAAGCAACAAGGAGCTTTGCCCCAGATTAATCAAAATTATAAGAATTTCAATTTTTTTTTCTAAAGTACTTTCTTTACATTCTTCTGAATATAAAAAGAAATACATTATGTTCTTGGGTATCAGTTATTTCTACCTCTATTCTCTTTCACTGGGAATCTTTTACACCAATATACTGATCAGAGTCTGATGCTTTGCTGGTCTAAAATGTTTCTAACTTAAAGAAAATTAGAAATAATTAAATACTAGAGGAATAGCTCAAATGTGGAATATGGAGAGATTTATTAAACTCTGATTAAAATGCAATATCCACTAAAAACAAACTTCTGGTTTTTTTGTTTGTTTGTTTTTTGGTTTTTTTTTTTTGTTTTGTTTTTGTTTTTGTTTTTGTTTTTGTCTGCAGGTCTGGAAAGAACTGACAGGCCAGAGGTCTAATTCCTTGTCCAGGAGATCTTGCTGGTTCTAATTGCTTTGGATTGCCATGTACATAATGTCCCATTATGGCACACTGCCTGTGAATGCCGTATCTGAAAACAGTGATATATCTCCATCAATCCATCTTTTCCTTTCAAAATTGTGAATAAGATGGATGATTATAGAGTTCTAGCAAAATCAGACAGACTGAATATAATGACTTTGGATAAAATCAGAAAGCAGAAGAGGAACAGTAACACTGACTGAGAAATTTCTTTTGTTTGCATCAGGAGGCCCAAGGACACTATGTCCGTTTCCAACATCACGGTCTACATGCCCTCTGTGTTGACACTAATAGGGATTCCAGGCCTAGAATCTGTGCAGTGCTGGATTGGGATTCCATTCTGTGCCGTTTACCTCATTGCTATGATTGGAAATTCCTTGCTTCTGATCATCATCAAATCTGAGCGTAGTCTCCATGAGCCTATGTACATTTTCTTAGGCATGCTAGGAGCCACAGATATTGCACTTGCTAGTACCATTATGCCCAAGATGCTTGGAATATTCTGGTTTAATGTGCCTGAAATCTCTTTTGATTCCTGCTTACTTCAAATGTGGTTCATCCACACATTTCAGTGTATAGAGTCAGGAATCCTGATGGCGATGGCCCTGGACCGTTATGTGGCCATCTGTTATCCACTAAGACATGCCACCATCTTCACCCACCGGCTTGTCATTCAGATAGGAACTATGGTCGTACTCAGGGCTGCTATTCTTGTAGCCCCATGCCTAGTACTGATAAAGTGCCGGTTTCAATTTTACCACACAACAGTCATCTCCCACTCCTACTGTGAGCATATGGCCATTGTGAAATTAGCTGCAGCAAATGTTCAAGTCAACAAAATTTATGGTTTGTTTGTGGCCTTCACTGTTGCAGGGTTTGACCTCACATTCATCACATTGTCCTACATCCAGATATTTATTACGGTTTTTCGTTTGCCCCAAAAAGAGGCTAGGTTTAAAGCATTTAATACCTGCATTGCTCACATCTGTGTCTTCCTCCAACTCTACCTCCTCTCCTTCTTCTCCTTCTTCACACATAGGTTTGGGTCTCACATCCCCACTTATATCCATATTCTCTTTTCAAGCATTTACTTGCTGGTCCCCCCATTTCTCAATCCACTTGTTTATGGTGCAAAGACCACACAGATTCGCATTCATGTGGTAAAAATGTTCTGTTCATAAAATCTACTTTAATTAATGTCTACATGCTTCCTTCTTTTGTAATAGTAACCACGTCGAAACAAAACAAAAATGAATATTACTTGAGATGCTTGGTTTGTGAAATCTTCTGGCATAATAGCTGGTTTTAGATCATCATAGCTCATGAAAGTTATCAGTCGTTGTGAATTCTATTTGACTAAACAAAGTGAGAAGTGTGAAAAAAGTTTAAGTAGTAAACATATATCGTTTATTTTTTTCTCTTTAATTCTGTAGCCCCTGGGTTGAGTTATTCCTCTAAGAATATTTCTCCAGGAGGATTTATAAATTATGTGTTTGTCACTGAATTTAAATGCATCTAAGGCTCGTAGTTCTGAAATGTCCAAGTACTCAATGAAAACAAGTCGTTGACTCATTTTCTCAATCATACTCAACATAAAAACAAAACAAAACAAAGGAAGTACATGTTAACTGTGTTTTTGTTAAAGAAAATCTTATGAATATCAAGAGACAACAAAGTCTAAAAATTTAAATACATTTTCAGAGGTATACAGGGAATTACAGGCACAAAAATAAGAACCAGGTATTACATTTTACACATTAATTTTTTTTTGTTTTATTTTTGCTAACCCCAAAATTTACTTCTTTATTAATTTACCAACTTTTATCAAAAACCTACAATATTACAAATATTATACTGGAGAATAGTGACATAATAGTAAATTTGGCACAGTGAATAATTCTCATGTGTTTGTACCCATGTAATTCTGGAAAAGAGAGACTGAAAGGAAGAGAGGTGGGGGATGGGTGGGCAGGGGAAAGAAGAGAGAAATAACAAGTGTACACATGGGATGTGGGGTTCAGAGAGAATGAAGCATTGGAATCTAAAGCAGAGGAGTTGCATTTACTTTATTTTGTTTTTCGGTTAGGTAGTTACCTTCAATTCTTGAGGAATGAAGGATGAGTGGCCAAGGAAGTAAGAACACATCATGCCAGGTAGATAATAGAACAGATTTAAACTAGATAATGTAGTTTAAGGTAACTATAGTTTTTCAACATGGTATGAGTATAAGGTAGAACTTGGGGAAACAAGGAAAACATGAATATCAAAAATGACTATTAATGCTGTGCAGAGTTGCTGCACTTTATTCCAAAAGCTATAGTATGCCATTGGAGAGTGTTCATTTGTTTGCTTGCTTTCTACAAGAAAGACACGTGCGTGTGTGTGCATGTGTGTACACACTCGTGCATGCACATGGGTGCCTGCTTGGGCAGATGACAGCATACCACACAGCAAATATAAATAAGTCAAGGCTACTGTGTTAGCGAAGAGGTGGAATATGTTGTCTGAAATTAGCGGCGTAAGAATTTATGGCTGGTAAGTTGTTCTTGAAAAACCTCAGGTCATAGATCCATTTTTTCAAAGTTATGAAAAATATTCATATATGTGCAGATGTCCATACTTTGATTTACCAGATTAAAACCACCACAAATATAGGAAATATTGGATTGCTTGTCATATACCTGGTGGATCCTCTGGTTTCAGGGATTAGGACTTAGCAGATATCCATGGCTATTGTGAATGATTATAGAGGCTTTCTTAAGGGATCTTTTGAGACTGTTTCAAGTTTCAATATTTACTAGAGCTAATTTTATTGGATTATAATAGGGATTGTTTTTCTCAAGTAAGATTATTTTCTTAAAAAATAAAATAGGCCCCTGAAGTTCTTTCTTAATATTTTAGCCAGAATTCAGCAAACTTTTACATAAATGGCCAAGTAATATATAGCTTAGGCTTTATGGAAAAAGAGGCAAAATCAAGAATATCACATAGGCATTAATATAACAAGAGAGAAAAATGTATGTCCACAAATAATTTTAATGAAATTCAAACTATATTAACAATAATAATAATTACATTGTTTGTCTTTAATTAAAGCAGGTCTACTAATTAAAATAATAGAATTCGTTTTTTTCTTCATAGTGACAAATGTAGCTGAAAGTTAGAGTTTTCCTGTTACCAAATTGATTGCAAATTTTCATCTGTAAAAATCATTCTTAACTAGCAGACTATAGAGAAACAGAGCGCAGACCAGGTTTGGGATGTTAAACAATTACCAGTTTTACCAGCACCACAAAAATTATGTGGTAATATAGGACCAACATAGAGACATAATGTGAAACTGCAACATATTTGCACCATCTTCTTATTTTAATATCTCATAAACTATGTAGCCCAGAGTTCATATTGTTTAATTATTGTAGTCTTCAAATTTCAGGATCAGTTCCAAGCTGAGACTTACTAATAGAAAACAGAAAAAATAAATGAGCAACTACAAGCAAAAGAGTATAACCTTTTCACACACTTGGACCAGGACAATTATTGAAAAAAATCTTAAACATAAAATTGCTTGAAAGAGAATATTATTATTGTAAGGATAATTTCCAAGAAAGATTTATAGAAATCACAACTTCCAAGAGATTATATCAATTTCAGCAATGACTAAAATAATGTTTTCCTAAATTCTCAAAACACTAGTTATTACTGACATTTTTAACCTTTGACAGTTTGGTAGGTAAAATATGATTCTCTTTATGACTAGCATTTAACAAATATTTGTGCTGCTATCTTCTTTTCCATTTGTAAATTCTTTATGTGAAGTTTTTCATTGTTTCCTTTGTACATTTTTCTAATTTGTGCCCATTTGTTTTCTTCTTGAGTTTAAAATTTGATGACTAAATATTGAATTATTTCTAAGGGCTTTATTGCTCAAGACTTTACAAGAAAATAATTACTTACATGGAAAGTATTGAGACGAGAATGAATCTTGAAGGTTTGGATTCATCATTTTTAATAAGGAGAGATACAAACATACATACAAACATAATTATATAATTGCGTGTGTGCATATATTTCCTCTGTTCACCTATAGGAACCAAAAGCAATAAACAAACAGTGGCAATGAATAAACAAATCTTGTGTCAAGATCTTGATTTTCTTAATAACTTTGTTCACAGAAAGAGACCAGAGCTTTTTGGAAAAATATCTGTTTCTGTGGCTTGAGCTGAAAAAGTATGAAGTAATTTGAAATCATAATGCAGAGATAGAAAGTAAGGAAGTACTCAAATCATGATTGGAACACGTGGGAAGGAACCAAGATCTAGTTGGAAGGAGCGCCTTATGGCAAAATTTAGAAAATTTTGAGCATCAGAATAAATAATTATTGCAGAGGATTATAGCCCATTGAATAAAATCAGATTCTGTGAATCTGTACAGATAGAAATAAAGCAATACAAATTTGGGAAAGTGGAATGCTCTTACATATAGTGTAATGCCAATAAATAAATGAATAGAAAAATTCATAAACAGAATAATAAAACTCATGAGTGAAAGTGTTATGAGGAGAGGATCATTTAAATAGTCTCAATAAATTTATCTTTTCACAGATTTCTATGAATTACAAAGAGAAAAATAGCAACTTACCATAAATCCAGAGTGACATCCTATTAACCAAGTGACTGAAACTAACCACATTAACGTTAGAACATATCAGCATCATATGATTAATGATATGGTGAACAGAAAAAGGATATATTATTCTGTTGTATTAAAAACAAACATTTCTGGTACATATTTTAGAGGTATGCATTTCCATTAAAATGCTTATGTGAACAATTATTTTTATTTATTAGCATGAGTACTAGGGATCCATATCAGTCACCAAAGTAGTGAATCACATTGCATCTAAAACAGATATTTTTCCCATTGTTCCAATGGGTTTTAACTAAATGGTATCTAGTAATATTTTTGTTTCAAGCATTCCTTGAGGTTCACACATTTTTTTGCATGTTTCCAAAAATATATTGGGAGTCATTCAATAGGTCTATATTTGTTAGTTACTCTATAAGTAAGATTTCAGAAGTGTTCAGATTTTACCTGACCCTACTTCATATCTATCTGAAAAGTATTTATCATACTTTTCCTAAAAATATCTCATTTAATTTGGGGTTCATGTGTTGTTATTTGTTTCGGGGACTGGAATCCTTATTTGCATTGTTCGTTCATTTTCCTGATGTCAGTACTCTGGCTATAGCTGATTTCAGGCTACCAACATGAAGTCAGTGAAAGCAAATCTGGTAAGAGATGCTTGAAACCAGCTCTTATAGGCATGGTATGAGCTAGTTCTAGTACATAACTGCTCTCAATTCTATACCACTGGTTTTTCTAGGCTGGATATAATTTTATGGGAGGTTACTGACGAGATGGAGTCATTGGCTCTTTACATGTAAAAAGAACAGGTCTGCTGAATAAATCCAGATCCAATAACACAGGAGAAAAGCTATGTGACTCCTGGTAGGAGCATATCTCTCAGGTAAATGCAAGAAATCCAGTCTTTTAGACTTCTTCTTGTACTATATAGTGAATGGGAATATTTTCCCTCCCTTTTCTTTAGGTCAAAGCTGTCAAGCCCTTTCCTTTCATTTTTAATTGATGAGTGGACATTATATAAATCTATGGTGTAAAACATGATGTTTTGATAAATGTGTACATTGTGGAGTGATTAAATAGAGCTATTTACTAGTGACACGTGTATCTCATATATTTATCTTTTTTGTGGTTGCGAGAACACTTAGCAACCGCCTCTCTTAGCAATTTTCAAGTATATATAATGAGATATGTTGATTAATTACAGTCACCATGATGTACAATATATCTCTTGAGCTGATTTTCTCCATCTAACTGAAATTTCCTGTCATTTTACCAACATTTCCCCAATCCCCACATCTCCCAAAAGTCTGGTAACCATCACTTTACTATTTGTATTTATGAGTTCAACTTGCAAAGTTCATTTTGTAAGACACAAACTATTTTTTCAAGTGTTAAATCAAGTTTAGCTTAAAGCTGCCTGTTTACATATTTTAATTTTGGCCTAAGGGTTTCTCTGTATATTGTGAACTATAACAACTGGAGGTATAAACAGACTGTAGCCTAAACTTGTGCCAATCACTGAGTTTTGGCCAATCAAACATACACAACTGCTTGAACCATGTTCAAATAAGGCAAACGCCAACCTGTAAGCAATTCGGTTGTTTCGGTACCTCACTCCTCTTTTCTGTTACCTCAGTTTCCTTTTTCTGTCCAGAAATGTTCCACCAGGTGAGTGCGCTGGAGTCTCAGAGCCTACCCTGGGTCAGTAGGGGTGGGGGATTAGATGGGGGATGGTGGGAGGGGAGATGCCAGATTTGCAAATTGCTCAATTAAACTTTTCTAACCTTAATTCAGATGAAAATTATTTTTCATCACAACTAAGGAAATAAAAATTACAAATTCTAGTTCCCAACACAAAATTGATATAGATATTATTGTTAGGGAAATTCGAGCCGAGACCAGGAGACACGAGAGAATCACTTTATTGCATCTCCCACTGACCATAGCCTTACTGCCTGTAATGGCCACCAGCCCCCCACAATAGAAAATACATTGCTTATGTAATTTTTGGCACAGGAAGACAAGGCAGGAAAAAAAAATTTGAACAAAGACAGTAAATCATTGACTTGAGACAAATTTTACCACCTTCAGAAAACATACACTTTCTCCATGGTTATCTTGTTCCTATGACTTGCAACTGGGAAAGAAAACAGGTTTTGCAGAAATATGCCTGTGGGCTGTGGGTACAAAGGTATGCTTCGGTGCCTTACCTTGGAAGGAGGAGGCTATGCTGGGTCTGCTTTAGCTAACTGCAGGCAATTTAGGCTGAAGGGGTAGGTTTCTTGCCCCTTTGCCCTTTATTTTTTGGGGCCTAGTCTTAAAGCTTATTATTTATTCTAAATTAATTTCTATTCTATTCTAATCTTTATTTTTCCTTCTCATTATGACTGCACTAAAATTTTTTTTAAAAATGCATATCATTGTGTCAGAATTCTGACATGACTGGGTCAACCTGAGGAGGGTTGGTTTGGATATAAGAAAGATTTGTGTCAACAAAGTTCATACATGAGAGGCTCAGAGAGTGACTGCAATTGGGGCCCTAGGTACACTTTTCAAAGTCAGCCTCTTTCATGAACCTAATGAGATATCATTACTTACCATATTGCAATTAAATTACAAAAATATTTATGTAAGTATCTGTCAGCATTCCTCTACAGTCACTAGTTTGAATATTTCAGGATGTTTTCATTTCCCTTTATTGAGTAATTATTTTTCTAAATAAGTGCTGTGATGACATTGTCATCACGGGACACTGACATCTCTGAAGAATTTGTAAAAGGGAGTTTATTTTGGTTTCAAGTCTTGAAGAAATTGAGTCTTTCTGTTTCTGTTTTGGATTTTTAGATACGGAGCCCAATTAGATAATGAATCTTCTGAGTTCTTAACCATATTCTGCCTCTTGTTTCACTCTTGTCCCAAATGGTCCTCAAGGCTTGCCAGAGATTTGTGAGGCCCAATCCCAAAGGGGCCTTTTGTAGTACAAAATGCTCAGGGTTCACTGCCTGAAACATCAATTAAAAAAAAGTTATACTCTATGGCTTCTACTTATATGTCCATCGATATCACTGGTAAGTCTTTGACCTTGAGATTCTGCATTTCATTTGGGAAAATGGGGAATTCAGCCTAAAGAGAACATATATCTCCTGTGATTCAATATGCCAGGATGATACAAATGCAGCAGAATCTTAAAATAGTTGAGTATTCAAACTCTAAAATGATGTCTCAGATATCTCATGCTTTTCAGAATATTTATGGATCAGTTGATGAAATGCTGGGCAACAAATTTTAAAGTGAGATTTACTAATGGGAGGACATCTAGAGAATGATTATCTGGGTTGATAAACAAATGGAAAGCCTACTTGCTAAAAGCCAAGAAAATTTTACATGCCTAGACTGGGGAAGATTTAGCAGAACTGCTCACCGTTGTCATCAAATATGTGAAGTTATTTCATGGGATGAGAAGGATGAAGTCTTATAGCATAATAGCTGACACCATCAACACATTTTTGTTTATTTCTAAATACTTGAAATGGATTATGTCATTTAATTTTTATAATAACTCTGCAATGTGTCTCTTTCTACTTTACCAATGAGGAAACTGAGGTACTTAGAATATCACAACTGGCTCAAGGGCATATAAAGCCAAGCAATAGCAGGTCTAGGAGTTGACCTCTCTTGACCAGCTTCAGGTTCTGTAGAATTCACTGCCATTATCTATGACTGGTGTCTATTATTAAAATGTAGATTTCAGACCTTTATGAGAAATTAAGGGGGAGGCAGTTTGGATCTTTTTATATAAAGAAGACCTAGTTGACGCTGGAAGCAGTCCTGCCATGTGGCATACTATCTCAGAAAAAGAGAGAGAGAGAGAGAGAGAGAAAGTTTTCTGTCATGGGTGGATTTCAGGCAGAGTTCAACTGGTGAGCTTTAAAGATGATATAGTGATGAGATTTTTGATATTATAGGTAGTGTGGATTAACTCTAGCAAGGAGTATACATTTATATTCCTAAATCCTTTAGTATTTTTAGATCTTGGGAATTAGCTTGTATCAGAACTGGAGTGGTAGTTATTCAGGGTTTATTCACACAGCCAAAATGTAAGTTTCTAGATTGTTTACTTTGGGCCAGGAATTTCAAGGCCTTCAGAAAGCTTTCTTCTTCCTTTAAACATATGCGTATTTGTGCAAACAAAGTTGTTCCCCAGGCTGCCTTTTCTTATCCAGTGTAGTAATTCTCAATCCAAGAACATTTTTTGCCTCATCTCTCAATTTTACCCTTACATCATGGCAGTGAGTGCTCACAGATTTTGCTTTGTTGTAACTCCTTCACTATTGTCACATTACTTTATAATATCCCATCCAGACTATCACAGATACCTTTCAAACAAGATCTGACTATGCCCTAGCTTTCATTCCCTTAACATCATTTGCTTGCCTGCCAGCAGATACAAGTTTTAAAGGGCCAAAGGTCTGCCCTACGACCTACAAACTTTAAATTACTTGGCTTAAAATAATAACTTTACATTTGATTATTTCCTTTTACATTTGCCTATTATTTCTGCTTATGAACTCATTTACTAGTAAAATAATTATTGATATGTATTCCCAGCATATGTTTCATACTTCTGTGATTTTATACAAACTATTTTGTCTTTAAGGAATGTCCTTCTCTATCTCCTTTATCTGGCCAATATCTACTGAAGAATTATTTCCTTCAATAGCCAGTTTTATTCTGCCCAGTTTTATTAAAGATACATAAATTCATCAATCTTCATTTAATTAAGGGCTCATTTTCTCTTCTAATGTGAAATCTCAGATTATAACCACTAGCAACCAGAGATATGTCCCTCTCCATGCATCCAAGGGACATTTGGCAATGCCTGAAGGCATTTTTTATTGTTGCTACAAGGAAGTGCTACTGGCATTCAATGGATAGGAGCCAGAAATGCTGCTAAACCTTTTACAATACAGATGATGTCTTCCACAACAAATAATTTATTTGGCTTAAAATGTCAGCCCTGGGATTGAGAAAACCTGCCCTAGAAAAATGAATTAGGGCTACTAGAAGGTGGAAGTGGAGGTGGAAATAGAAATGGAAATGAAAAACTATCCAGAAGAAAGGTCATTATTTTCTCAACATGATCTGTGGGCTTTTTGACTGAAGGCATGATTTTCTATTTTATTTAATTGCTATTTTGTTCACTTGCTTCTTCAACTCTTTCTGCTGCCTTTTCTCTGACTACTCAGTATATACTTTGTCAGAGCTTGACTTTGTATGCTACCTTTCAAGGAGTCTCCAGCTCAACTATTACTTATATGGCCCTGTTAAATTAAAGCAATATTTCTAATAAAGGCAGTAATATATATTTTTGAGCCAAATCAGAGATTGTTGCCCAGAATATGTGTCAACAAAAAGAGTCAAACTCTGTAAAATATTTGAAGAGATTTATTCTCAGTCAAATATGAGTGACCATGGCCTGGGATACAGTACTCAGGAGGTCCTGAGAACATATGCCCAACATAGTCTGGGTGCAGTTTGGTTCTAAACATTTTAGGGATACATGAGACTTCAATAAAATACATTTAAGAAATACATAGGTTAGGTCCAGAAATGGGGGCTGGTTCCAGGTTATAGGTATATTTGAAATTTTTTGAGTTGGTTATTAGAAAGGAATGTCTGGGTTGTAGTAAGAGGTTATAAAGATCAAAGTTTTATCGTGCAGATGAAGCCTCTGGGTAGCAAGCAGGCTTGAGAGAGAACAGATTGTAAAAGTTTCTTACTAGACTTAAGGTCTGTGCTGATGTCAGTGCTGGAGAGATATAATGAGGCATGCCTGACCCCCACTCTTCTTCATGGCCTCAACCAGGCTTTTAGATCAAATTTTAGAGTGCCCTGGATCAGGGAAAATTCCATTTAAATTGTTGAAGGGATGTAAACTTCTATTTTTGATTTTCATTTGGATGGTACGTTGTTCAAAAAGTGGACATACATCAAACAGGTAGCATATAACAAATGTGTTCTATAATGTGTGTCCTACACCTATGTAGTAAATTAAAGTGATAGGGGAGTAATGCCTACCAGAATCTTAACAAGTTCACTGATGAAAATATTTTGTATATTTTTATATCACCTAGGCTGATGTAATTACACTCTGATATATATTTCTCATAATCCTTATTTATTGAATTATATTTATAAAACCTTAGCGGATACAGATTTGCTTATTTTGTTATTTCTGGGTAAATACTGCATGAAAATTTGATCCAAGTATATTTACTTATAACAAGAAGTTTTAGGCTTTCATTAATATAATCAACTTATAATGTTAATTTCATAAGTTAAGAATGGTAAAACAATGTAAAATATTAAAAGATCTTAAATGAGTAAATGATATTTAACACATATTTAATAAATGGTACATGCTACTTTTTGAAGTCCAAACATTCAGCAAAATGTAGATAACTAATAAATATGAAATAAATAAATTTATTTTTGCTTCTCAATTGCTTCAAACAATATTTGGATCATAGTGGATACTTAATAAATCTTTGTTATTAAAAATCATTAAATAATAAACATCTAATTTGTTTCTTGGATAAGTTTATTGAAAGAAAAAGATATTTCTGCAATTACTGGAGATAAGTTATACATTGTCTTTAGTGTCCCAGAAACAATCTAAATATGTCAGGGGAAAAAGAAAAAAAATTAAACAAATAGACAATTGAAAGGTGATGAGGCCAGTAGGATGGTGAGATGTTTTTTGTTGTTGTTGCCCCCTCTACTATCTTTATCTATTTCACAGTATACTTAGATGATTTCAGAAAGTGAGTTTTGCAATTACTAAAAGAAAATACAGGTAATATGTAAATCATTCAATATTCTCCATTTTTTGGTGGTGGAAATATTTTCTTGAAGCAGAGAGTAATTCAGACAATAAAAAGCCCTGTAAGTTTGGATGATGAAAAGGCAAAGCCACTCTACATTGAAACTTGGTAATAACAGAGATAGAGGCTCTGGAAGCCTAGAGTGTTACATGTTGGCATTACCAGTGAAGGACAGAGACAGAAAAGAGGGTAGAAATAGTCCTATGCAAAATAATGTGGCAAAGAAATTCTTCACCTCTACAGAAATCATTGTATTTGAGTGGATAGAAGATGTATAGATGTATAAAGCTTTATGTAAAGAAAAAGAAATAACATTTCTTAGAGAGTTTCATGTGATTTCAAGTTGTTAAGAAGAGATGATTGCTCAGGCTTATAGAGATAACAATGCCTATTTCCAGGTAATGAAAAATTAGAGGGCATATGTTGGCACTTGATATTAAATACAAGAGATGTGTACATGGCAGAGCATGGTAGAAGAGAACAAGCTTTGATAGGAATTGCTGAAGTAAAGATCCACAAATCAAAAATAAGGAATTAATTTTGTTAGTGAATACACAAGACAAGGTATAAGATATATGATTGGGTTTTGAGAAGACATTGAAAGTTTGAAAAATTAGGTTGAAAGAATTTTGACCGTCTATGTGAGAAGAATCAGACTATGAAAAAACTAACCTGAAAAAAAAACAGCCAGTGAATTGCAAAACTAAAAGTCATTTCAGTCAAACTTGTCTTTTGATTATGATCAGAATGGTCTACCAGCACTGTGGATCTTTTCTTTATGGCTAATACAGATGAAGTCTAGTTGTAAAGTTCTTTGCTCTGCATTAAATATTTTTTTTTTTATAATTTCAATTGTTAGGTCACAGAGAAAGCACATATGATGAGTAGCAAATATAAAATACTGTTGATCTAGTAGTCATGAACCAGAAAGAAGCCATTTAATACATTTAAATTTACCCATTGAAAATGATTAAGGCATGGAGAAACAGAACCTGGTGTTTATCTTTCAGTGACTTTGAAAAGGAGACAGAAAATTAGGGAGGATTAATTAGAATAGAAGATATAACATGATACACTCCTAATATAACTAAAATATATTTTCCTAAAATAAATTAACATGTTTTTTATTTTTAATTCATCAAGGCTCAACAGAGAATAGAAGATGAAACAGCAAATCTACTACTTGATTCTGCTGAACAAATCATGCTGACATTCAATGGCTCAGTCTTCATGCCCTCTGCATTTGCACTAATTGGGATTCCTGGTCTGGAGTCAGTGCAGTGTTGGATTGGGATTCCCTTCTCTGCCATGTACCTCATTGGTGTGCTTGGAAATTCTCTAATTTTAGTTATAATCAAATATGAAAGCAGTCTCCATATACCTATGTACATTTTTTTGGCCATGTTGGCAGCAACAGACATTGCACTTAGCACATGTATTCTTCCCAAAATGTTAGGCATCTTCTGGTTTCATTTGCCAGAGATATCTTTTGATGCCTGTCTTCTGCAAATGTGGCTCATTCACTCATTCCAGGCAATTGAATCAGGTATCCTTCTGGCAATGGCCCTAGATCGCTATGTGGCCATTTGTAACCCCTTGAGACATGCCACCATCTTTTCCCAGCAGTTCTTAACTCATATTGGACTTGGGGTGACACTCAGGGCTGCCATTCTTATAATACCTTCCATAGGGCTCATCAAATGCTGTCTTAAATACTACCGAACTACAGTCATCTCTCACTCTTATTGTGAGCACATGGCCATTGTGAAGCTGGCTGCTGAAGACATCCGAGTCAACAAGATATATGGTCTATTTGTTGCTTTTGCAATCCTAGGGTTTGACATAATCTTTATCACCTTGTCCTATGTCCAAATTTTTATCACTGTCTTTCAACTGCCCCAGAAGGAGGCACGATTCAAAGCCTTCAGTACATGCATTGCCCACATTTGTGTCTTCCTACAGTTCTACCTTCTTGCCTTCTTCTCTTTCTTTACACACAGGTTTGGTTCACACATACCACCATATGTTCATATCCTCTTGTCAAATCTTTACCTGTTAGTCCCACCTTTTCTCAACCCTATTGTTTATGGAGTGAAGACCAAGCAAATTCGTGACCATGTTCTGAGGGTGTTTTTCTTCAAAAAAGTAACTTGATCATTAGTGACTCTTACAGAGATTCAGGAGTCGTTCTAAGTAAAAACCTAAATGTAGTGAAAGTCACAGATAAGATTCTCAAACCACTAGCTCAACACATACCTGTAATTCTAGCTATGCCTCACTTTTTAATATTTGCTTTGAATCTATATTTTGATAAATTTGGAATCATTTATCTACTTTTTCTGGAGTGCTTATCAATATAAAAAATATAAAATCACTAATACCAATAACTGCAACATAAAACTTATGTAATGCAACCAATGACCATAAACACTGAGCAACTTACACAGGAGAAAATGCAAAAAAATTGAAAAATATTAGGAATATTCACAAATATTACTTTTAGGAAAATAAAATCAGTGATCTGGACTTACATATCAAATGTCCTTCTGGAACCACACAATTTTAAAGATTTTTACCTAATTTGAGTTTTACTCAAATTTGTAAGTTTGTTTTGTAATTGAACATACAGACACATTCTGTTACCCACTGAAAGCATCTTGAGTACAAAAACTGTATCTTATTACCCTTTATCAGCAATACAGAGGACAATCCTTGATATTTCTTAAAATATAAGTAAAAATGACATTGAATAATGAACAAAATAAACATTTTATTTGTGTCAATTAATGGTATTCAAAAGCAACACATTTGGAGGATGTAAGGTAATATTCAATCTTACCCTATAGAAAACCTGCATGCTAGAGATTTTATTCCAATATTATCAGGGTAAAATAAAGGTGAAGACTTGAAATAATCATTATGCAAACTTGAAATAATGTATTAACTAAACACAGAACTGGCACATAAGAAACTGCCTCCTGAATAAGGCTTTAATAAAGACTGAGAACCAAACAAATGATTTTTATTTTTTTTAAGACTCAAGTTGACAGAGTCATCTGAATCACTAAGTTTGAAAAGATGCATGGTCAAAGAAAGAAAATACAGTAAAACATTCTGATGTAAAAAATCGTATCATTCAAGAGGCAAACAGATGCATATAATTTTGAGGAAAATCTTTTCAATAATGTAGAAATAACTGAGTGATAATGTTTGTTTTTTAAATAAAGTTTATGTAAACATTAACAATACTTAGAAAAAATAAAAAATACAATGACAAAAGGTAAAACAACATGTTAGCTGATAGGCAGAAATATTAAAAATTGTTGAATTAGATAAGCAAAGATTAATAATTAATCATTTTAATTCCACATTAGAGCATTAAGTATTTCATTAGTTGTGGCATCAATAATGCAGAATGTATAATGAATGAGGAGTCATTCTCCCAAAAGAAAAAAAATTCACAAATTTATGAATTCTTTAAGAAAAATTAGTATACATGAAGGATAAAGAATGAAGATAGTATGTGATATTCCTAAATCGGAAACCAAAACAAACAGAATATGATGATAACTATAGATTAATCATAGTGAATGAAAAAAATGCATTTCAAAGTATCTGGTATAAAAATGCACCAAATTATTTAAATGAAAAGAGACAAAACACCTATATTGGAAAAAATCAACTGAAAAGAAAAATTCAACATAGGTCTATCAGAAAAAAAACGCATTGTATGTCCTAATGAATACATGGTTTTATTCATTCTCCGGAGTATGAGGAAAAGCCAACAGTAACGGTCTTTAAAATGCACATCACATAAAGGAAAAAATTAAATGAATTTATGTCATAATTAGACTGGATTGGCATTTCAAGCCATTTAAACCTGTAATTAATAAAAAGGACAATTATTACAGCTCATAATAATATTACTAGTTTTTATAACAATGTTGACCCTGTCCAGTGTTATCTGCTTAAGAAACCCCAGCCAGTCTGCTGAAGTGTTCTCCACATGGAGTACAGCACCTGGTCCGCTGATTTCAGATAGGTCCCAGTCAGCACGCAGATCTCTGTGGCTTCTTAGTTACCTTTGGTCTTCTTTCCAGGTCAAATTTGTTCCATGCTGAAGATCTGGGTTCATATTACCTTTTTTAAGGTATAAAAGAGACTTGGCCTTAAAACAAAGTTGTGCACATAGTTTCTGAGAATCTGCACCAGGTATAGGATATTGGTTATCTCTGGAAGGAGGGCGGGAAATATTGTGGAAGTGCAGAAGAAGCGTGATTCAATTGTACTGAACTTTCCTTCAAGAAACAGTGTGATGGGTTACATGGATTTTTTTAGTTATTATGCCATATATGTATTTTTTAATTGTATAATATATTTGGCAAAAAATAATAAGTGACTATATTCTTGATGTAGTACTTGGCAAACTACTCAGTTTAACAGAAGATAAGCAGGTTTTTTATATTCATAGTAAAAATATCTCCTAATGTATTTTAGTCTCTTTAGCAAATATTTATTATTTCATTCTTTAAGAACTATGATTAGAATTTAGGATAAGGCAATGTTCATGAAGGCAATGACCATAAAGGTACAGCTCCATTTCTTACATTCAAGTGTATATTCTATGTGTAAATATGATCTTTGTCGAATTTTTAAAACTTCATTATTGTCTTGTTTTTTTCAGCTACAAAGAGAGCTATGTTAAATTTCCCTACCCTGTAGATTTTTCTTTTTTACTTTGGGAATTGATCAATATTTTCTTTCTTTTTTTTCCCTTTTTTAAACTTTATTTTTGGTTCAGATGGTATGTGTGTAGGTTTTTACACAGAAAATTGCATATCACTGGGATTTGATGTACAAATGATTTCATCACCCAGATAGTGAATGTAATATCCAATAAGTAGTTTTTCAACTCTCACCCTTTCCCCATCATCTGACCACAAGTAGACACTGATGTCTATTGTTTCCTTCTTTGTGGCCATGTGTACTCAAAGTTTATCTTCCACTTATAAGTGAGAACATGTGTTATTTTGTTTTCTGTTCCTGCGTTAATTCACTTAGAATTATGGCCTCCAGCTCCAACTACATTGCTGCAAAGAATATGGTCCCTTTCTTTGTTGATGCCTGCATAGTATTGCACGGTGTACATGCACTACAGTTCTTTTTTAGTGGAGTCCACTATTTATGGGCATCTAGATTGATTTCATATCATCACTACTGTGAATATCATTGTGATGTACATACAAGTATATGCGTCTTTTTGGTAGAATAATTTATATTCCTTTAGGTATATATCCAGTGATGGGCCTGCTGGGTTGAATGGTAGTTGCGTTTCAAGTTCTTTGAGAAATCTCCAAACTGCTTTCTACATTGGCTAAACTAATTTACATTCTCCCTGGCAGTGTATAAGCAACCTTTTTTTCTCTACAACCTCACCAGCATCTGTTACTTTTTGACCTTTTAATAGTAACCATTCAGACTGCTGTGAGATAGTACTTCATTGTGGTTTTGATTAGTATTTCCCTAATGATTAGTGATGAGCATTTTTTCATATGCTTGATGGCCCCACGTACGTCTTTTTTTGAGAAATATCTGTTCATGTTTTTTGCCTGTATTTTAATTGAGTTGTTTTTTGCTTGTCAATTTGTTTAAGTTCCTTATAGATTCTGGATATTATTATACCTGTCTTGGATGCATATTTTGCAAATGTTTTCTCCTATTCTGTAGCTTCTCTACTTACTCTGCTGATGGCTTTTCTTGTGGTGCAGAAGCTTTTTAATGTAGTTATGTCTATTTTTGTTTTTTCTGCAATTGCCTTTGGAGTCTTCATCATAAAATCTTTGCCAGGGTCTAGGTCCAGATAGTATTTCCTAGATTTGGGGTCTTACATTTAAGACTTTAATTCATCTTGAGTTGATTTTTATATATGATAAAGGATATCTTATTCAATAAATAATGCTGGGATAACTGACTAGCCATATGCAATCTTCTGTAACAGATGCAGAGGATTGCATACAGCTAGTCAGTTATCCCAGCACCATTTATTGAATAGAACATCCTTTACCAGTTATTCATATTGTCAACTTTATCAAAGATCAGACCATTGTAGGCATGCAGCTTTATTTCTGAATTCTCTAACCTGTTCCATTGGTCTATGATTCTAATTCTGTACCAGTATTAGGTTTCTGTAAACTTCCAGGATAGTTTGAAGTCACGTGGTGTGACTCCACGACTTTGTTCTTTTGCTTGAGATTGTTTTGGCTATGCAGTCTCTTTTTGAGTTCCATACGAATTTTAGAATTTGTTTCTAATTATTTGAAAAATGTCATTGGTAATTTGATAGGAATAACATTGAATCTATAAACTGCTTTGGGAAATATGGCAATTTCACAATATTGACTCTTTCTATCCATGATCATGAAATGTTTTATTTGTTTGTGTCATCTGCGATGTCTTTGAGCAGGATATTTCTTAATTCTAATTGTAGATATCTTTCATCTCCCTTGTTAGCTGTATTTCTAGGTATTTTATTCTTATTGTGGCAATTTGAATGGAATTGCATTCTTTATTGGGCTCTCACCTTGGATGTTGTTGATGTGTAGAAATTCTACTCATTTTTTGTATACACTGATTTTGTATTCTGAAATTTTATTTAGGTTGTTGCAGTTCTAGGAGCTTGTGAGCAGAGACTATGGGGTTTTCTAGGTATAGAATCCTATTGTGGGTGAAGAGAGATAGTTTGACTTCCTCTCTTCTTATTTGGATCTCTTTTGTTTCTTGTTTCTTTTTATTGCTGGATTGCTCTGGCTAGGACTTCCAGTGCTTTGTTGAATAGGAGTAGTGAGAGTGGGCATCCTTGTCTTATTCCAGTTCTCAAAGGTAATGCTTCCAGCTTTTGCCTGTTTATATGATGGTGGGTGTAGGTTTTTAATAGACAGCTTTTATTATTTTGAGGTATGTTCCTTTAAGGCCTAGTTTGTTGAAGAATTTTAACATGAGGAGATTTTGAATTTATGAAAAGACTTTTCTGTACCTATAGAGATAACCATGTGTTTTTCTTATAGTTCTGACTATGTGATAAATTACATTTATTGTTATGTGTATGTTGAACCAACCTTGCATCTCAGGAATGAAACATACTTGATCTTGGTGGATTAGCTTTTTGATGTGCTGCTGTATTTGGTTTGCTAGTATCTTGTTGAAGACTTTTGCCTCGATGTTTGTTAAAGATATAGGCCTGAAGGTTTCCTTTTTCCTTGTGTCTCTCCCAGGTTTTGTATCAGAATAAATCTAACTTCATAGAATGAATTAGTGATTCATCCCTCCTCCTCAATTTTTTGGAATCATTTTAGTAGGATGGGTATTAGCTTTTAATTCTTCTTTGTAGAGTTTGGCTGTTAATCTATCTCCTAGGGCTTTTACTGGTCAGTAGGTTTTTTATTAGTGATTCAGTTTTGGAACTTGTTATTGGTCTGCTTAGAATTTAATTTCTTCCTGGATTAATACTGAGAGCTTGTATGTTTCCAGGAATTAATTCATTTCATTTAGGTTCACTAGTTTGTGTTTTTCTGCATCAATTTATTTTACATAAGAAAAAAACTTTAAGTGAAAAAATATATGTATTTTAAATTAAACTCTGTATTAAAGATACTTAAAAGTAGGGAACTTCTTGGGATCGAGATTGTTAAAGTCTATGATATATTTTTCTAGGAAGAACTGTCTTCCTAATTTTCTGTCTTTTAAAATTGGACAAAAATCATCTGTGCATAATTGATTTTCTTCTCTTTCTCTTAGCAAGTCTTACTCCTTACAGGGATTACTGTACTCTAAACCCTGTTCTGCCTACCACTTCCAAACACACACCTTCTTCCTTGGATCACTGAAATGCCTTCTGGAAGTCCTTTGATTGCCAAGAGTAAATCTAAGGTACAGTATTTGTTTTGTTTTCAACTCCCTTTCCTTAGGAAGCACACAATAAGGCTGTTCAATTTGTTCAGAGATGAAATGGAATCCCAATCAATGCATTGCCTTATTTTAAGTGTCCCTTTTCTCTGTCATATAGGTGAGAACAATATAAACCCCATCTCTGCTGCTCTGAGAGACAGGAACACCTTTTACTACCAGAAGATGCTTCAATGCTGCCCTCTCCTGGCCATATGCCAGGCCCCCAGGGGATTGAGCAAGAAGATAACCCTTAGAAATGGCATCTATTCCTCTGGATTTAAACTTCCATCTTTGCCCCAGGGAAATGACAATATCTCTCAGGATTAGAGAGAGGTTAATGAAACTTTGGTAATCAGGAAAAATTATGTTACACGCCACAAATATTCCATAGCTGGAACCAGCAAAGAGCAACCTTCCTCTGTGCCAGTCACTTCTTACAGCTGCTTCTGGAAATTGAGTAAGTTATAGTTAGGAATGTGTACAGTTCAAGTGGAGGTAAATAGTACATCTTGAAGTACAAGTACAGTTAATGAATGTAGACTTCAGAAAAAAATCCAAATCATAAACATGAAGAGTATAAGTATATTTTTGTTAGAATCTGACTTTGAAATTCTATGAAGTACAATTAAAGAATAATAATGATAAATTGAAGAATCTGCTTTGGAAGACTGAAATGTTAAGGGCAGTTAGGATCCCACTACTGGAGAATTAATTTAGATCCACAGATGTTTTACTTGAAAAAGAGAAGGATCATGAGTGTGTAGGGAAGTTCAAACTATCCCTCTGAAGGTTCAAGTCTATGTCTGTTAAAATGAATTGACAGAAGACAAATCAATAGGAAAAAGACATCGAATTTTTATCAACATGCATAAGCATGGAGAAATCTAAGAAGAATGATTACCTAACAACTCAATTAAGTACAGATGCTTATATATCCATCTTTACAGAGGAGAGGAGACATTGAATAGAACCTGAGAAGAGATAATAGATTGAGATGAAGTTCATCTGGGCTCCAAGTGTGGTGTTTAATTTTCAATGTCTACCTCTGTAATGTGAGTTTTAATCTTTGCTGGTTAATGAATTTCAGGGAAAGGATTGAAGGCAATTATGTTCCTCTTTAGGGGTCTAGTTTCTAGGCAAATAAGGTAACTTAAGAGAATAAACTCATCCCATGCTTTGGGAAAGACAAATAAGTGAAAGATAGGAAAGTTTGGGGGATATCAGAGAAACCCTGAGGTTGCTTCTTTAGTTCACAGTGTTAAAGTGC